ATCATGACATTTATTCGGCTGGTAGAATTTCAGCGGTTATCCGCAGTAACCGCTGGTTAATTCAACGCACGTGAGTGTAAATACGTGGCGTGCTTAAAAATCTCTATCATTCTGTTGTTCAGCTTTATGTTTTGGTTTTATACTCGTTGAAAAATATGATCGATCATACATGGTAGCAGTCATTTTAAGCGAAAAAAGGAAACTATGGGTAGACTGTATAATAAAAGTGCAAACAATGGAAAGTTTTATCCAAAAGCGTTTGCATGGAAAACAATAGAAAATTGTGGGATTGTTTTTTAAGTGAATCGAAGAAATAAAAAGAAATTTCTTTAGCCCTCTACGGGTTAGGTTCGACCTGGTCCCACCCCCATGTCGATTGGGTCCGCCACTACTTTAAAAGTCTAGAATTTCAGAATTATAGAGCTGCAGATTTTCATTATTTTAGATTCCTAAGATTCCCAAATTCCAGAGTTTCTAATTTTCTAATTTTCCAATTTTCTAATCCTCTAGTTTTGTAAATTTCTATATTTCTATATTTCTATATTTCTAAATTTCTAAATTTCTAATGTTCCAATTTTCTAATCTTCTAATTTTGTAAATTTCTATATTTCTATATTTCTAAATTTCTAATTTTCCAATTTTCTAATCTTCTAATTTTGTAAATTTCTATATTTCTATATTTCTAAATTTCTAATTTTCCAATTTTCTAATCTTCTAATTTTATAAATTTCTATATTTCTAAATTTCTAAATTTCTATATTTCTAAATTTTAAAATTTCTATATTTCTATATTTCTAAACTCCTAAATTTTAAAATTTTAAGATTTCTAAATTTCTAAGGGGTTTGATCCACCCGAGAAAAATTCTTGTTAAACCAATGATAATTTCTTATAAGCTTGTTCGAAAAAATTGTTATGCCAGAAGTAAGAATAGTTAGCGAAGCTGCTCTATGCTTGTACTACCCCTTATGTCAGCTTGTTAAGCCGGTAAGCTTACGTTGGAAGCTGTCTTCAACGGTATTTCGTGTTAGGTCAGAGTTAGGTCAGGGTTTATGTACTCGTTAATCAAAACAAACGTTGGAAACACGAAATGCAATCACAGTGAGCAAGGTTGAAGTATTTAAACGCTTTGCGCCCAGAGAAATAATGCAGCGGCTGGAGACTTCTTGCCATGACTAATTAGCATCGTCCAGGAGGATCTTTCTGCATTTAACCGTCCTAGTAATGAAAGTAGCTCACGTTCCCGGCCGAATATAATATTCAACTTGTATGCTAATTGGTGCGTAACGTTAAGCTTTAACCGCGGTTTGAATCGTGGCGAGGATACCGTTGAAATTAGTACCAGTGATAAAGTAGAGGTTAACTGCGGATTCAATTAAAAGAACATTAGATTCGGGCCACGATTAAATCGCAATCAGATTTAAATTAAGCGTTACATTTGTACAGCAAGGATCCGCAAACTGATAATAGTCGATGCTACTTACTATTATGATGTCGTTTAATACTTTCTAACAAGATTCTTTTGGTACTGTTTAATTTCATTAGAATCTTTGAATTTTTTCATCCATATGGTATAAGGCATGTGTATTAAGAATAGGGGTAGTTAATTTTTAAATTTCAATTTGCTACCTTGCATACTTTATAATAGTAACAATATTTTTCTTTTATTATAATTATCTAATTTGCTGGAATGGCCAGCTGCAACCCCTACGGTATTCAACGTAATAATAGACTCTGAATATTTATGGAAATATACATTTTCATATTTTCTTACAAAAATATGCTGAAGTGTATTATTCTATAATGAAAATTTTACTGCTATTTAATTGAATTGTAATTAATAAAGGATCATATAAATTGTTCTATTTATTTGTGATATAAATTTTCTATCTGCGAATATCAGAGTTTCTTAGTTCTCCAAAAAATTCATTTTACACAATGGGTAGGTTTAGATCTTATGTAATCTCCCTAGGACAACGACGCCCGGACGTCGGTTCATTGTCTATGAACGCATCCTCGATGTGATATAGGATACTCATTTGCATCTCTGTTAGTCTTGGGAGTCACGATCTAGCCTCTCGTGAGTGTCGATAAACAGTACTCTAGATACCTGTATAAGCACGTTTCGGTACACAAACCGTATCGCTGTATTGCCCATTCACCTGTATCCTCGATAGATACAACCTCATTCCTCATACCTTGGGCCTCTACTTAGTGGCACTTAAGCAAATTCGCTGTTTCTTGCTCGTGTCACCGATCGGCTATCCAGAGCCGATGAAAATAGTTTCAACTTAAGCTCCGGCTTACAACAATAAGATTAGGATCAATTTAGCACGTCCAAGGAAGCTGATCTAGCATCGTAAATGCTTGGTCATTGCTTCTCCTTCGAAGATCATTTTCTTGTCTGTACATAAAAATTCAGGATGTGCTGGATTTCCAGGATTCATTAGAATACTAATATAGTTAAGTTAGGTTAGTTTTTTCGGCGCCATTTTGTAGCCTCTTCATACAAACCAATCAGATTACAGATAGAAATCAAAATGGCGTCAAACTAACCTCAAAAGTATCCTTCAGTTCAGCAATATAATAAAAATCAGAATTCTACAATATTAAAGCTAATTAGAGTTGATTTTTAATTAAGTACACCCTTTGTCTTTAATAAATCCAACGTGTTAATTATTACCCTACCAAATACTTAGATATTGATAAGTCTGTGCAAATTCTACATCAAAGTAAATATTCTTAGCTGCACAAGGGTAATAGATTATGTGTTCAAGTGAAATAATGTTTGCAATAAATAATCATAATGCAAAGATGATATAATATTTAAATCTGAAGTTCTTTTTCTATTCTAAACCCTTTTATATATTTAGGGGAAAGGTAGAAAACAAATTCAAAATCACACATTTCCCACAAATAATCATTATTCTTTAATTGTCTTACGAATTCTGGTACAATTGGATTCAACATAAACGATAAATTAGTATTATTAATACGTGTATATACATTAATAGTATTTCGAAGTGTAACATCCTTATTCAGTGTTACTAAGTGTACGTTTACTATTTGTTAACAATATAATTGATCTTGTTATAAGTTCGATTAACTTACTCGCTACCAGTCGTTTAATTAGCTCGTGTTTGTGTTTAAAAATTACGATGCTCTTTTCTTGAATGATTGGAAATTTCTTTGACGAACAAATCATTAAATTCAATGAACGAATCTTATCGAACTGATTATCTCATCGTTTTCACATTGAAGAATTCAAATAAAAGACAATTTTAAATTAAATTCAACAATATTCTTCGCCTGAATATAACTGGAAAATCTGATCTTTTTTAGGAAAAGCACACTCTTGATTTATTCTATGCAATATTAGTCATTCTTTTATTTGATAATCCATTTTTCGTAAAACCAGTGATGGAAACCATGCAGTCAGCAATATCGATGCTAGTTCTCTAAAAGGTTCTTTCGTATCGAATAGCTTTTAAAGCACCAGTATAGAACTGGCCAGTTATTTGATACTTTTAGAAAAATATTGCCCATATATCGTTCCTTCGCAAACAGTATTGTTTAATATAAAATCGTTTCTTGAAATGACATAAAAGGCAGCAAAGATTAAGTACTGATTCAGGATCATTAATTCATTTCAATTATTGATGCATTTATTTCTTCAGATATTTTCCTCTGTCAATTTAACTCAACATCAAAAATTATATAGTATTAATCCTTCCTTGTTAATTTCTCCTTAAAAATATTTGTTATTAATATTTTTAATAGTGATTCTAAATAATCATGCAATTCTATTCAAATCTGGTTCGAAATTATTATTTATGATAAACGAATGCAACAAAGTTCTATAATTTTATTATACAATAATTTAATTAAAAAATTTTAAAATTGAAGAAGTTTGTCGAATGCAATAAAGTTCATTTTGATGAATAAAGCTTATCGTTACGTTTCACTCCAGCAACACAAGGAACCATCGAATTTTCCATAAGTTCTGATAATACAAGCGAATCTTTGTCGTTGATAGAAAAATCTTTTCGATCATAAATCCATTTAGCAAGCAAAGTGAAGCGTTATCGTATCACAGCTCTCTGGTTCGATGAATTCGAATATGTGCCTGGGAACGGTTGGATATCAACGAAACATGCCTCGTTCGTTCGAGTAACAAGGTAATTGACTCGTGCAATTTTTACTTTTCTCTCTCTGTAGCTTTCACGTTCGGTTAAATATTTACACTGTACCAACGGATGTGTCGGTACCCTGAAATGACGATACGGTCTGTCCTGTAGGTAATTTGTCGTGTCTGTGTAAAAAAAACGTGGACAAATTAGACCGTTTATCGTTCACGTCCATCATTTCCAAACGTTTCCTGTCATGTTTGCCGTGTCGCTTGTTACTGTGAAATAAAAGCGGCCTGGAAACTGGATAATAATGACTTTAAATTATAAATTGTTTTTAATAGCTTTCGAAATTCACCCGTGTTCTATTTTTACTTTAGGTGATTTGTCGAAATAAAATGGAAAATTTAAACACCAAATGTCCATTTGGGGAAAGCTACCAGAGACTGATTTCTTTTTGAAAAATTTTTATGTTTTATTATGCCTTGATGGAATTGTAAATTAATTACTGTAAATAGTTCTCTGCTATTTATTCTCTATTAATATGCTATTAATTTTTACAACTATAACGAAAGGTATGTGACAAATTAAAAATTATAATATGATATAGATTTTCTAGAAAGTGGGAAATTTTAAAAATAAATAAAAGGTATTTCCAAAATTCGAGTATTGAACTATTAAAGAGTAAAGTGTAGAATCATTTTAATTAATTTGTAATCACTGCTTTTGGCGAATGAAAGAAGTCTTCAATAATAAAAAATCGTTCATGGATATTAATTACTGGATTATTGAGTTTCTGATTCAAAAAATAGCATAACAAATGATTTTATACTAGCAAAAAAATATTGTATAGGAAACAAAGATATCGGTTGTAATTTGTCACGATCGGTTTATTATCAATGTTCTATGGAAACGTATACATGAGTATAATCAGTACGGATACGATGTTCGAATCATTTAGAGCTTAAACGATAATTATTTAACAGATACATCGATCGAACGTCCCTTTGTTTTATGGGATGATTCGGTCTCGCAGAGATACAATCGTGCATCATTTTTCGAAATTAAATAGATCTTCAGGTGTGTTTATTTTTTTTTAATAATCTCGTCGTTCGCCAGAGAAATTCTTGCTTTTTTAATTCTTAATTTCTTTAAATATCAATCTATCGGTCTACGATGAACAGAGTTCTTTTCACGTGTGTTTCTTGACATAATCCTTACTTCAAGTTGCAATATTTTTTACAGTTACTTAACAATGCTTGATCGACACTTTTCTGCTTCACGTGTGAATTGAAATTCGTACATTTATACTGGTAACTTCGTCTGCTCATTTTATTTCATTTTCTAATAACAATTGGGACGATTTGACTGAAAATTTGATGGAATTTTGACTCTCAAAATTTTAATTTCTATTTTACTCTTAACAAGAGATTAGAAATTTTCAAAGATTATTATTTTATCTGAAAATTCATTAATTTCTCCATTGCAATTAGTATTTAAAAATAAGGTAAAGAAAACTGGCACAATGTTGAAAGTCAAAATTGAATTCCACTCTGTCAAATAACAAGCTTTGTGTATTTTATATATCTAGAACCGAGAAAATAGTAATTGAATCTATTTTATTTGTAAAATCACTGTGATTTTATTGCTCCTTCGTGCAATAGCATTCAATCAATCGTGGATATTTACGTTCGTCAATATTCAAACTGATCACGTAACTTTACGTGTTCACTGTACCAATTACGAACTACATTCAACATTTTCGTTTACACGAAACGTTGACAGAAATTGAAGTATCAAAATCGATATGAATAAAAGAAGAGCTTGTTATATATAAATTATACGAATAATTAATATTAAACATACATAAAATTATTCTGACAATCATAGTACTTGTATTTTATATTTGTCGTTATATTCAACAAAGTTCATCCCAAAATACAGTTCTCCAAATTCCTCAAGGCATTCAAAATAATTCTTAACCCGATCCGAGTATCGGGTACTCGAAATTTTTATTTTCTCCCACATCTCTGCTCTTCAGCTTAATTACAAACAGAATAATAATTAGAATTTCTTTCTAATTTTAATAACGATTAACCTGAATCAAATCCGTGTACCATATCTTCAATCCATAAACGTAACATCAAACGGGAACGTAACCTTATTAAATTCTTAACAGGATTCGTAATTAATCGTCCTTGTGCGGAAATTTAACGGGTAATTAACAGTTTGCTTTGATCTCGTGTTTACAAAGGGCTCGTTCATTCGAAATCGATCAGTTAAACCTCTTCGACCTGTTCATTTGGATGGCTGTGAGATCGAAGTTCCAGTATAAACGCATCAAGAAACGTCGATACACGTTGAAGCAGAGTTTCCTCGATGCCAGATGGACAGTTTATTTCATTGCATAACACTCTATGGGCCGTTCGACTGAAATATCCTTCAGCGATTCGACAAGCTGATGGCTTTGGAAAGTTACAAACACTGTTGGTGAGTAAAAAAATGTCCGAGAATATCAAGGTACTCGAGGACAGATTTAAGGATTGAGCGTCCTCGAAGTTTCCTAGACGCGGTGTAAACTTTGCAAACAAAATTATGAAAAACACAAAGTCATTCTCCTTTCTTGTAGAGTGATACCTGATCTATATTCTACTTTAATGTATGCAAAATTATGTAGATTTTAAAGAAAAGAAGTGTGTTTAATTTAAAATTAATTTCGTAATTAAAATAGAAGGCTTTCTTTGAAAAATAAAATTATAATTTAAAAATTTTGAAATCAGAAAATTAGAAAATTAGAAAATTAAGAATTTACATCTTCCAAATATTCTACAAATAATTTTAAAAAATTGTCACCTTATTATCAATCACATTCTGTCAATTATTTTGTGTATTCAAGATCATCGATTATCTCTCAAAATGATCTATATTTATGGAAACGCAATGAGATTAGAATTTTCGAACCTCTTATTCGAAATATCGCTTCGTTTCTGTCCAATCATGGATTCGAGGAATTTTAGATTGAAAACTACGACAAGCTCGTGGCTCGTGAAAGAGTTTTCTATTCTTCCACGTGTCTCGAGTATGTATATCGTTCCTAATTCTACGACTTATCAATTTTATTATACGTACACGGATATGTGATGGCCTCGTATGTCGATCCGACATTAAGGATCTGCAGCGGTGAGCTCGATTTCGGGTAACATTTCGGAATTCAGTGATTTCGAGCAAGAACTAATGTGCACCAGTTAGAACTCCGATATTCGAGGAATGTTTAAACGAACGAGTGAAATGGAATTCATTTCTATTTTTCACTGACACTTCTTTTTTCTAACCAACCCCAGGAAAATTATACGCTTCAGCAAGCTGGGAAAATGAAACGCAGAGGAGCTCTGATTGTTTGAATGATCCCATGTTGAAAATATTTTCTGTTTTCACCCTTTCGCATATTTATACAATTTTGAAACAACGTATCAAATTTTTGTTAAAAACTACAAATCTTTTTCTACTGCATATAAATAACTTGTACAATAATAAAATAATTATTGGTGATTCAGAAGTGCAAATTACATTTGTCTTTTAGCAATCTTTCAAAATAAATTTTATTGAAAATCCAAGATAAATTATGAACATTTATAGAATTTAGTAAATTAAAAAAATCAGGAAATGCTTCCATATATTCAACAACCTAAGTAGACTTCTTCGTAAGAGTAATTGTAAGCTGTACTCTTTCATTAAGTGACTGAGGTATTCCAACTTCATGCAGCTCAAGCACCGTATTATTCAAGGGTTGTCATTTTTACCACGCTGTTCGAGACTTCGTGTAATTCAAGTACCGTGTTATCCCAAGTTACCTGTAATTTTTTCAAGGGTCACCTGTCATTTTTTTCATCTTATCAACAAATAAGCTTCATTGAAATTGTGTGAATATTCTCTTTCGTGATAATTTTAATATCCAAGCACCTATAAATATTTGCAAAGGCTCTAAATATCAGAAGTAACAAAATTTCAAAACCTTAAGATTCTAATAAAATTCGAATCGATTCGAAGCACAAAAATGTACAACAGAGGGTTGCGAATAGTCCTCATTATTCATGGAACATTCTGTCGTTTCGCCAATGTCGCGAGCGTATTTCGCGCAGAATTTTTGCGAGTTGAACGAGCAAAAATCGTCGTTGGTGGATTTTCTTAAACGTCAAATTGATTCCCGGAAAAAGTTCCTTGTCTCTGGCACAAAGCTCGCTGAAGCAACGAAGAGAAACCAGCAAACCAACACCTATTAATTTCTCTGGTCCTTTCGTAGGTGGCTCGTTTGTCACTGTCAGACGATACTATTAACCGGGGTGGTGCAGCATGCCGTTTGATCGCGAAAATTATTGCGGCTGCATGTGGAATTGTCACGGAACAAGTAGCGCTCATGAAAGACTGCCTTTATCGCAACAATGCTTCCCGAGCGAAGATTTAAATTCTCTGCTACTCGTTGTTAACCAGAAATAACATTTTCCTACAACGAGCTACTTGTCGATCGCGTGATCCGAATGGCGATTTAAAAATTATTAGGGTGTATGATTCATACCGTCAATTATTGGCCCCTGTCTTAATTAGTTCTCCAACTGAAGCATACTTAATGATTCTTAATATAAAACTTCAGTATAAAACAGTATAAAATTTAGAAAATGAAAATATCAAATCGGGGCTCTCTCCATGGTCCGCCATCCGGTAGTCAAAATATAAAATGAAATCTACTTGGCCTAGCAGGTAATTTTAATTAATTTTCTTTTCAAATGAATTCTAAATACTAAAGAGAACGAAATTTCTTCTAAATAATCCTAAAATCTCTCCATCGGAACAAACGCCTTTACAAATTCAACAAGAAACTTAGCGGTGATTCAGAAGAGAGCCAAGATAAATGTCCTGTCTATTGGGTATCATTCACCTAAAGAGCTCCTTGACACTGTCTCTCGTGTTCCTTAAATCGCCATTTAGTTCTCTCTCGTTTCGTAAAATATCAGCAAGAAAGGTTACCCAAAAACATGGCGTTCGCCCAACTTGGCAGAGATTCCGGTTCGCCCCGTTTGATCGCGAGTACCAGCTGCACAGATCCTTATTATCATGGACGCTAAGCGTCTCGGTTGGATCGCAGCGAGTCCAACTTGTATCATACTAAACACCCATTTACATGTCGTCGAGTTCTCTTCACAAGAGTTCCATCGACTCGTCTCCCCTATCTTCATAGAAACGGTAAGGTTCACGTTCGCCAGTCTTTGTAGGGAACGGCGCACCTCGATGAAAAGAAAACAAAAGGAACAGTTTTGTCACTGGTGATCGCCTCGAAACAACCGATTGCTATTAGGACACAGTGTAGATTTATTATACTCGATTCGCAGGCGATTTATCGGCTAAAAATGATCGTGGATATCAATGAAACAGTAAAAGCAGCGACCTCATCAGTCTCGAGTGTTCTTTTCATTTTATTTTTTCTTATTCTTTTTTAGGAGTCTCTTTGATGATCACTGGGTCTCTCTGCTCTCTTTGAAAGCAAGATTCGGAACGATGTTGGGGCACAGGGTGGTCGATGCTGGCAGTTTCCTTCCTTCGACTTGCTTCTTCGCTTCATCCCTCCTACCACGCTCCTTTGCCTTTGTCCGATTACGTAAAGGAGAAACGGCGGTTCGGTTTCGTTTTTATTGCATGGCACCGTGATCGACCAGTCACCTCGCGAACGAACCGGCGTGCAGAAGCAACAGGAGCAACGCGAGCGTCCTCGTCGCTGCACCGCTGTTGCTCGAGTTTCCGTGTTGCATCGCCGCTGGATGCTCTCCTGTAACATGCAATAAGGAAGAAAATTATCCCGGGAATTAAACCGGCCGCCGTAGAAACCGTCACGGTAATCTTACATCAATGTTAATATCGTGCGAAACGTTGCTACTCGGTTATGTTCAGTCATAAACGAGTGTATGAAGTTGTAATTAGGCTGTTTGAAATTTAAAGGTGCGTTTATATCTGCAGATATTGAAGGTGCCGAATGCCTAGTGTAACGGGTAGGATATATTCTTTAATGTTAGGTTGTATCATAGCTAAGCTATGACCCAACCTTTTGGACGATTTTCAGAGGGAGAAGATCTAATCTGATTTCATGACATAAGAGTATTATAAAATAAGACTCATGGTATAGAAATTCAAAGTTCCAAATTTAATAAAAATGATTACATAAATGTATTATTAATATTTTTAGCACTAGAATTATCAAACCAGTTTCTTATTTTAAATTACAAATCTTATCAAGCTATTTTTTTGGATGTATGTATTGAATTATGTTTCATCCTCCATCTATTTAATTTTCTATATTATTTTCAACTTTAAAATAAATGTGCATCAAACGTCAGTAGTTATAGTATTAATATACATTGTTTAGTTTTATCTTAAATAAAAAATAATATTTCAATGAATTTTTAAGATCTTTTTACCTTCTATTTTTCAATTGTACCATCACTTATATAATATTCTGTACAAATTTAATACGTATTCATTACAGAAACTTTCATTAAACAGTGGCCGAGTCTATTCTTGAATATAAATATATTATTAATATTTTTAACAGTAGAATTACCAAACTAGTCAGAATGACTGGTTTCAGGTTCCTTATTTTAAATTACAAATCTTATCAAGGTATTTTGTTGGATGTATCTATTAAATTATGTTTCATCTTCCATCTATTTAATTTTCTATATTATTTTCACCTTTAAAATAAATGTGCATCACACGTCAGTAGTTATAGTATTAATATACATTGTTTAGATTGATCTTGAATAAAAAATAATATTTCAATGAATTCTTAAGGTCTTTTTACAATTTATTTTTCAATTGTACCATCACTTATATAATATTCTGTACAAATGTAATATGTATTCATTAAAGAAACTTTCATTAAACAGTGGCCGAGTCTATTCTTGAACAGCACTCCCAGTTCATCCTCTCCTTTCGCAGCTCGTATTCACGTGTGTACCTCGGTTTATACTTGCACCGCCTCGGGCAACGCGACGGCATTTCTGTCACGCGTGCATTCTTGCCCGTTAAATGCACTAGGATGGCGCAGAATGCAGAGAAAATCGGCTACCAGGGAATAAACCGACTGGATTGTCCGGGATGACAAATATAGGAGCACCTAAGAGCACCCTGTACACCGACCTGCGCGTGCACGTTATCAATTTGAGAACGACTGCGTTCCACTTTCGCGAGGAGTACGAACATTTTCGTCGAATAGTTTGCGAACCACCTTGTTATAGAGAACAAGTCGAAAGCAATTACTGGACATTGTACATATTACATGGAATCGAATTTTCAGACTGCAAATGCGACGATTCTCGCATTCTTGAATATCCGAAAACCATTTCCCATTTCGGTGATAATCAACCGTTCAACATTGTAATAAAATTAGTAATTAAAAGGAAATAATTGATCCTTGACTTTCTATATATATTTCAATTTAAATTTTGATGTAAAGAAAAATTTTTAAAAATAACTGCTTTCGTTACTCTATGCTCGATACTGTTCATATATGCAGTGAATATTAATTAATTAATTTGTAAAATATTGACGAGTTTATGAAACGAATGGTAGATAGAGATGTCAAATAGAAAATTCAAGAGGCAATAAATTTTCTATTGTTTCGTTTAATGAATTTCTTCGTCGAGCAGTCCTATGGTTTTACTGTTCGTGTTTCTTGGGTCGAACGTATTTTTTCTCACGGCATGCCGCTACTATTGGGGTTAATTTATGGCGTGCAATTCGACAAACAACGGTGCGCTGCAAGAAGCAGTCATTTTTCAGTGAAAACGACCATCAACATTCACGGAGAAAAAGTAGCCGACCGCAGCTGCGGAATAACGTCGAATTTCTGCCACTGCGAACGTATCGGTTACCCGGACCGTCCATTCTTACTATTGACGTACGTTAAATCAATTCTGACCCTTTGATTGCAGCAAATCGATACTTTGTCTTCTGAAATAAAGGATTTTGCATTATTGAAAATAAGAAAACATCGAAACGTCTCGTTACTACTAATAATTTTCTCTGTTCCAATTTGTAGAAAATGAACTTTTTAATCATTGTTTTAAAACAAGTTTCGTTTCCGTGCGATGGTATGTGTACACGCCGCAAAATTTCCATTTAACTCAGTGCTTTTCACACTTGCAGCCATTAAAAGGCAATGGGTTCTGTGTATTTTCGTGCACCAGTTCAGCACAAAGAATCTCGTTAAATTAGAGTCCACCGTAATTTCGAAATCCCCGGCTCGGTTGGTCTGAAGTCTCTTTTCAAGGGACGAAAAACTTCTCGGTACTTGGCTGGTAGCAGGACTCGACGCAACACGCTTCTCGTCTCGGTTGAATTTAGAAACACATCTCAACCCGACTCGTTGGAAATATTTTATGGAGTGTCACGTGTTCGAACGCACGTGAAGATTCGTCTTTCCTTTCCGCTAGACGTGTAAGAATTTTTAACAAAACTAATTGTAAAATTTAAAGTAGTTGTTATATTTTGTAATCAAGCGTGCAGATTTATTATTCAACAACCCTGAAATGAAATATATCGAAAATTTTATTTTATTTAGAAATATATTTTAATTTTAGAGTAAGAGTAGTAAGAGGTGTTGAAACTTTAATTATGTACTGACACGTGGAGGTAATTGGTGATTGGTATTATGAATTTCTAAGCAGTATCTGTCTTTTTTAAACTGGAAAATAAAGGATTATACTCTGAATAATGATAATTAAAGCGTGTTATACATCATGTGTCGCGTCATTGATTGATAGCTTTTACTTGACGTGAAAAGACCGTCTGACCATAACGCCATTATACTACTTGGCAGAGACTGACCACAGGGCGTTCTGTCTACAAAAGATTAATGTCTTTCTTTATTACTTTAAATAGTACATGCTTCTGTTGTAAATATAAATGCAGTGTTTAATAATATAATAATTCTTGTATCCACTATCAGTTTTAATTTTAGAGTCGTCTGTAACAAAATTCTTTGAAATTTTTATATTTTTCTAAAATAGATTTATAGAATTTTCATTGTATTATATAAATTCATGAACAATAAAAGTTTCCTTTATCCGTCTTTTACATTTTTAAGCGTGAACTTTCTAATACACATATTAGAGTTAGGTATAGACACTTAAGGAACAAGAGTTTTTGTCTCAAGACTTTGCCAGTTGTTTATTTTTTCTCTCTTTTCATCGGCCTTGCTGGGACTACATCTAAATTAGTGTATTCCCTTATCCCTTGTATCACTCCATCTCTTATATCTCTTATATCTCTGCATCCCTCATATTCCTGGATGTCTTATCCGCGTATTCCTTACACTCCTGCAGCCCCTACATCTCCGCAACCATTACACTCCTGCAGCCCCTATATCTCCGCATCCCTTACATCTCTACATCGCTTACATCCCAGCATCCCTTACATCTCCACATCCCTTACATCTCCACATCCCTTACATCTCCTCATCCCTTACATCTCCACATCCCTTACATCTCCACATCCCTTACATCTCCTCATCCCTTACATCTCCACATCCCTTACATCTCCACATCCCTTACATCTCCACATCCATTACATCTTTACATCCCTTACATCTCCACATCCATTACATCTTTACATCCCTTACATCTCCACATCCCTTACATCTCCACATCCCTTACATCTCCACATCCCTTACATCTCCACATCCCTTACATCTCCGTATCCTTTACATCCCTACATCACAGAGAGAAAAATCATGCAAAATTTAGTTCCAATTTTCGCTGCCAGAGGGCACTGATCCGAGGCCGAGATTTTAGTTCGCATTTTTGCCGCTAGAGGGCCAAAATTGGTGCAAGGTTTAGTTCCTTTTTCCGAAACCAGATGGCGCTGATTCAACATCGAAATTTTAGTTCACATTTTTGCCGCTAGAGGGCCAAAATTTGTGCAAGGTTTAGTTCCTTTTTCCGAAACCAGATGGCGCTGATTCGACATCGAAATTTTAGTTCACATTTTTGCCGCCAGAGGGCTAAAATTGGTGTAAGGTTTAGTTCCTTTTTCCGAAACCAGATGGCGCTGATTCAACATCGAAATTTTAGTTCACATTTTTGCCGCCAGAGGGCCAAAATTGGTGCAAGGTTTAGTTCCTTTTTCCGAAACCAGATGGCGCTGATTCGACATCGAAATTTTAGTTCACATTTTTGCCGCCAGAGGGCCAAAATTGGTGCATGGTTTAGTTCCTTTTTCCGAAACCAGATGGCGCTGATTCGACATCGAAATTTTAGTTCACATTTTTGCCGCTAGAGGGCCAAAATTTGTGCAAGGTTTAGTTCCTTTTTCCGAAACCAGATGGCGCTGATTCGACATCGAAATTTTAGTTCACATTTTTGCCGCCAGAGGGCCAAAATTGGTGCATGGTTTAGTTCCTTTTTCCGAAACCAGATGGCGCTGATTCGACATCGAAATTTTAGTTCACATTTTTGCCGCTAGAGGGCCAAAATTTGTGCAAGGTTTAGTTCCTTTTTCCGAAACCAGATGGCGCTGATTCGACATCGAAATTTTAGTTCACATTTTTGCCGCCAGAGGGCCAAAATTGGTGCATGGTTTAGTTCCTTTTTCCGAAACCAGATGGCGCTGATTCGACATCGAAATTTTAGTTCACATTTTTGCCGCTGGAGGGCGCTGGCGGTAAAAAATTATGCGAATTTTATTTTAAGGATGTCAGGGATGCAGAGATATAAAGAAATCAAGGATGTAAGGGATGCGGAGATGTAAGGGATGCGACGATGTAAGGGATGCGGTGATGTAAGGGATGCTGAGATGTAAGGGATGCGGAGATATAAGGGATACGGATGTGTAAGGGATGCGGAGATGTAAGGCAAGCGGAGATGTAAGGCAAGCGGAGATGTAAGGCAAGCGGATATATAAGGGATAAAGGAATACAAGAGATAAGGGAATACACTAATTTAGGGGTAGTCCCAGCAAGGCCCATGAAAAGGGTGAAAAAATAAACAACTACCGTGGGAGGCCTTGGTCCATAGAGGGGAATGGAATAATAAGTAACTGGGAAGGGTGGTCCCCGCGACGCCCATAAAGAGGGATAAAATAATAAATAACTGGAAACGTGAGCCGACCCCATAGGGAAAGATAAAATAATAAATAAAAGGGATGGTCAACCGACGACCTGAAGAGGGATAAATTTTATTCCTCTTTGATGAGCTTATTTAATAAGAGAAAGGAGTAAATAAAATAATTGAAATGAACCTCGAAAGGAAATTAGTAGTATATGTGTTTAGCAGGTTGATCCGCACCCCTCGGTGGTTGCTACAAGACTGAGGAAGTTGCACCTCGTTCTAGGTTATATTTCTCACATTGAGAAGTAATTAACTCAGTTGCTTTTATAAAATGATTTATTTACCAAAGCTTATGAAATGAATACAAGTTTGGTTTACAATTATTTTAATAATGTTTCAATCTTGTACTAGTTTTAATTAATTTATAAAAAATAGAGTCAGAGGGAGTTTAAATGGTGTCTTTCCTGTTGTCAGTGAAAGGAGCGGTGAAAGAATGACTGGTAAAACAGGCACGATTGTCCACCGACTGTTTTCTATACATGCAGACTTAACTGTGGTTGGGGGTGTCTGGGACTCCAAAATCATGACCCCTCGAGAACAAAGGGATGTCCAGTCTTTTTGTATCTGCAGTCACTGCATCGCAGTTCTTCACCGAGAAAATGCACACGACTGTACGAACTACACATTCAAAGGCATTAATCAGATTGGAAATCGAGAGAAAGTGTTTCTGGTGTAGGTTAAGTAACCGAGACTTACGTAACGTTCACTGTGTGTATCGGGAACCGTAGCGTGTCGACTAACAGTTTATACTTCGTTTTAATGCCGCTACGCCGATGTTGTACATAGTGTCGGTTTCCTTTTGGTGCCAAGTTCACGTTCCTGCGTATGTTGCGGTTGTCGTCTACCTATTCCACTTGCACTACTGTGGCATGTATGTATGCACGCTGTTCAATGCACGGTTTTAACAATTATTTTCTGCACTGGTATAGCTGTGTAAGGACCGGAGAAAACCTACAAAATGGGTAATTGGCCTCCTTAATATTCTAAAATTTTAAGATTTTAAAGTTCACAAATTCAAAAATTTTCAAATTCCCAAATACCGAAATTTCTAAATTACCAAATTCCTAAATCCTAAAATCCTAAAATTCCCAAATACCCAAATTTTAGAGCCTAAAAATTCCCAAATTTCTAAATCTAATTTACTAAATTACCAAATTCCCATATATCCCAAATACAAGAAAGATAAAAAATTCAGAAATTCACCTGAATTAAGGAATTCATGGATTAAAACTTGATTCCTAAGTGACTAAAATTCCAGGAAACTACGAAGAAAGTCGGCTACAGCGCGTTCAAGCACCGTGATTCCATTCAGCATTGAAGAGACCGCCGGAATTTAGTAGTGTCGCTGACGACGCGGTTTTAATGGCCGCAAAACAGAAAACGGCAAGGACACAAGGGAACATTGAAGCAGCCACGGTATTCTGAAGCAAGAGGCTGGAACTTTGACGGTGAGACTTGCTCAGGAAATGGAGGTTAGTCCGGCATCGGTATGGCGCATCGCAAGAATAGATGTGCAGATGTTTCCGTACAAGATCCAACTTGCCCGACCTTTGAGCGAAGAAGCCGCGTCAAGACGAGAGGAGTTTGCGAATAGAATCTGTTCAATGATCGACGAAGAGAGAAAGCTTTGATGTTGAATACCATCATCTCCAGTGATGAGGCGCATTTCTGGATGGATGGTTACGCGAACCGTCAAAATGATCAAATTTCGGGAAGCCAGCAGCCTTAGTTCACTGTTTTCAGTGATGAAAGTAACCATAAATCAGACACGTTTATCCTGACAGTATTCGCGTCAAAATCTCAGCTAAAACGTACCCCATATATTGAATTTCTTATTTATTATTATTTGAAAATTGTTAATATTCATTGTCAAATAAACGAAGGAAAAATACCAAGCAATTTATAGTAATTTATTGAAAATTTGTTTCTATTTTATCTGGATGAAAGAGCGGTTTAATATACGTAGGTTCAAAAGGGAAATTTTACTAAGGTTTTCTTGGAGAAACCAAGAGACTTGATGGATGCAAACACCCAGGAGGCGTGTTCTCAACTGCGTCATCAATTTTCAGTCGAATCACATGTGAGTTTGCTCCCATGTTGTATACCACAACAATTCACCGTTAGACCGAGCGAAAATCGATATTAGGCTTTAAAGGGTTAATTTAACTCGGGAAACTTAACAACAGACGCAGCCTTTAGCGTGTCGTAACTGGTGCAGTGTGAAATTATTGATAAATCTTAGGAATTGTTATTGGTATAGAATTGGAAAAATTGATATTGAACAATATCGTATCAAATGCTTTTAGAAAATTTAATAGAAAATCATTATACGACATATAATTTAATGTTGAAAGAAGAAAGGAATTCTGTTTTATGAAATTTAGGAAATATAGAAGAGGCTGAATTATATCAGTCAGGGGGTTGAACTTTTAGACACGTATCGCACGTCAGATTCAAAGAGCACAATTTTCCCGCTCTTTTACCACGTACCAAAAGTCGACGTGGAGTAATCCAATCAAATCAGGAGACGTAAAAGGAAGTTTCTGTTGCACTTTCAGAGGCTAGAGTTTACTGATGATAGAAACGTTCGAAATCGGAGAAACTTCGATACCAGCGAGACCATCGAAAGGATTGTCAGAAAATTCCAAGCTGGATTTCTGTCCGAGGATACTTTTAACGGAAATGGAATTTAATCATAATATTACTAGAGATGATTGAAAGAAACTGGCGATAGTTTATTGCCAAGCCATTGATAAGATGTGTTCTTAATATTGACTACCATATTTTCGTTTGGACCTGATTCACTTTGCAGTTATTTATTCAAAAAATAAAAATACTGTCATTTGAATAAAATGAATCATTACTTAATTAAGGGCGTAATTTGGACCTTCTTCTAAGGTCGGTCAGGTCTTTTAGGAATTTCGAAATTGTAGAATTTTGGAATTTAGAAGGTCTGAAATTTTGTACTTTTGGAACTCTGAAATTTGGAAGATTTGTAATTTTGGGATTCTGAAATGTAAGAAATCTGAAATTTTGAAATTTTGATAATTCTGGAATAATGGAATCTTAAAATATTAGGCCCCTATCTTGTTAGAGCAATGTACTTAATTAAGTATCGAATTCGTCATTTACAGTTTACAGAAACACTGAAATGAGTAACAAGTTGCGAAGCACGTTTTAAAGCAGAAAAGTGGGCATTAACTTTGAAGAGAAGTCAATTATGCAATGAAAGAAAGTTAAGGAGCAAGGCGTAAAGAGAATTTCTTTTCAATAAGAAACCTTTCAGTCAACATGTAACTTTGTAGCTAAGCAATCGTGGATTACAAGAAAACTGGCTGAAGCTTTTTCAATTGAAGCTTTAAAAGTTAATACCTTACAAGATGTATTTACGACGTTTTACTGTGAAGTATTAAACGCTACAAGAAATTGAAAAAAATTTAATAATTTATAAAATAAAGTGCTGAAAATTATAATTCTGTCAAACACTTCAGTGTACACATTGTAGACTTAGAAAACAAATAAGGAACAGAAATACAAATGTAAAAGAAAGAAATAAATAAATTTTTAACCTAAGAAGCAGAGATTGTTTCTCGTATTAATTTCTTCAAACAAACCATTACAACTAATGAATCGACGAACAGTAGAAATTGATTAGCGCGAAGTTAAATGAATAGTGGATAGTTGAGGTACACCATGAATCAATATTAACTTCTGATAATATTGCAACGCATATTAATATCGAGTTTATCATTCAAAACGTGGTCAAATCTACGTCAGCGAGTAACAAAACTTGAATATCGAAACTTGCAATATCGATAAAATTACAATTAACGAATCGAACACGTTCGTCATTAATTAGCCAAATGTCGAATTTCAATGTACAATACTCACCATTTGAATAATATATGTATGTTACCGGGTTTTATACGATTAATTCGATCCTTTCAAACGTGAACAAACACGTACGTATGTATCTCTGAACGTTAGTTTACATAGGACCTTTTATTAAAATAATTATTACACGTGACAGGAAATGGCTCACCCAATTTCCTACGTATTGATTTTAACCAGACTTGGTACAAACTGAAACAATGTCACAAGGTTCATATTTGTCCAGGACAATTGATCGCTCAGATTTTAACACATTCTTTATTTTACATTATTATCTATTATTAATATGAACAGTGTTTTTTTTTAATTTGAAGTTTAAAAGATATTTATATTTAAGTATGAAATTATAATTGAAAACTAGAAGAAATATAATAGAAGAAAACTTTAATAAAGAAGGGGTTAATTAAGCAAGAACGATCGTTCGGAATTTTCATAAAAAATTACTTAAACATATTATTGAGTGCTACCGCGAAGTGAACTGAAATGAATAAAATATTCTCAACTCTTGTTCAACGAGTCCTCGAAATATTGTTTAGCAGAATATCTCATTCGAACAAAACGTCCATAGAAATAAAATTCATAAGCTTGCTCGAACGAGTTTGATTTTCAAACAGAGACGGCAGGGGGAGAGAAAGAAAAGAACGTTTATGAATTTTTTTTTTTCCTTCGTTCCTCATTTACGTCGAAAGTATTTTTAATTAAAGAGTTTTTCCACAGCTCGAAGCGCTTCTAGAGAGTCTTCGACGTTGCACGGTTCTATCGAATTTGAACGAAAATCGATGCCAGCGACACACTAATTAACAAGTTTGAAATAAAGTTTGAAAGCTCGTCGACTTTTCTTTGAGCATCAACGTGAAACGTGTCACTGGAAATTCGGTGAAGTAAGGAAAAAAAAAAGAAAGATAGGAAGACGGAGGAGAAAGTAATGATTCTTAGTAGTGCTTTCGATCTCACGTACCATCAGGCAAATAACGTTTCGAGGCTAAAATAAAACGTCTGGAAGCTTCTCGTGGCGCTCGTTTTTAATTTCCCAGCGAAAGACGAAATTGAATCTGTACGGTGTAGAAGGTATGCAAGTGCTTCGTTGAAAGCTGACCGGCCAAGTAAATGTTTAATTAAATTTCTCAGAGAAACGAACTAACGTTCACGTTGTTTCTGTTCGCCAATGTTTAAAATACTCTGCATTTGTTTCTTTGAACTTGAGACATTAGACGATGCATTAGAATAACATTTGTTATTAGATAAATAAAAAATTAAAAAAGTTTTTTAAACTCGAATAGGATTATCACATTAAAGATAAAAATTTCAGGTCTGAATATTTCAGTTACAAAAGGATTTATATTGTAATGTATTAAACTGGAGTAATACTTAAAATTTAACAGAGAAAAAAAGTATGGCAATTAAAACAGTTTCGACCAAGAACTAAGTGGAACGAAATATAGATTGAATGCCCTATTTAAAATCTATGGAAGGTTTATACACTCAGTACACTTTCTAAGTATATAGAACTGTGTCAAGGAGGTGGTAATACGACTTACGAATTCGTGATGGAAAAGTCGACGCGTAATTTTCTATTTTTCCAACTTTCAGATCAATCTGTCGCTGAGAAATATTCGTAATGTATTTGCACATTTGCGTTCCAGATTTTAAATGACACTGGTACACTTCAAGCAAAAAGAAAAAGAATGAATTAATAAAAATTTGTAATAAGTTGTCTAAGAAAACGACTTGTTTAAGGCTTCATTTCGAATAATTTAATAATGTAATATAAATTAATTCAGATATACCCTGTTATGATTAATTTTTAATAAAACTGTATTATAAATTAGAATAATTAGAATAATTATATGATTGTAACGTATATGATGAGAAAATAAAATCTATCTATTCAATTTTAGTAAGAAATTATTTCAATTTTCCGGCTGAACCTTCCTGAAATCCCGCCTAATAAGTAATGCAAATGATATTCAAATTGAAGAAATACGTGTTGACTAGATTTTGCGTGTTCGAAAAGCAACGGAAATCATTTTCGCCGGATTCAAGCTGGCTTGAAATGCAAATGAAAGGTGTTAAAGTTTCATCGTGAAATGCGGGGTAGCACCTTAACACAATCGAGATTTGTAATAATCGATCGAAAAGAGAAGCCCATCTGCGGTCCTAATCAAATTTCCCATAAGATCCAATCGTATTTGATTAATCACGGGATTGCCAATTTATCTAGGGCTATTGGAGGCCACATTAGCGGTTCTATATAACTGTGTACTTGGATTTCGAAAGCCAGTTTCAGATGTATGGAAGCAATTAGCAAATCAGCTGTCGCCAATGTTTGTTTACGACTGATGAAGGCTACGATGTTTTGGCCATTATACGCACACCCCCTCTAATTGTTCCCTCGAACGCCCTTACATTTACAAATCACCCTTATCAGCTCTAAAGTATATTCAATTAATTTTTAAAATGGAAAATCAAAAATTACTTATTGAATTCATCATTTTTCTAAATTCGAACCTTAAACAGTAAATATTAAGAAGAATAATAAAATAAGAAAATAAATTAATAATCTAATACAGTCTATAAAATTGCGGATACAAATAAAAATAATCAGACAGATTATTCGAACGAATTCTTCAAGATCTAAGAACCAGATTAAACGATATAAAAACAGTATCCTAGGGGAGTTGATTTAATATAAAAGCTGTTTGTTCTTTTTACCCGAGCTCAGGTTCCCATGAAAATCCTGATCGTACAGTGAAGCCTAGCACAGCGACGTCGCATAATCCCATTAAAGTGCTCTGATTTGCAGTGACTCGTAGGAAAAAGGATGGAGAAGAGGGCGTGCACCGGCAGCCAGCGAGAATTATTGCGGTTTTTTTACGAGACATTAGTAGGCGGGTATCCGGGTCGCCGAATACGCTGCTGCTAATACAATGTACCCGAGGTACGTCGTGAATGAGGCAAAGCCAGGCCGACGCCGAGTATTCATCTCGGAAACAGGAAGGATGAGGGTTCAGGAAAGAGGGAAACCCGGTCGAGCTATGTAACCAAGTTCATCCCACGAAATGGAAAAGGGTAACCCAGACGTAGGCCACGTATGCTGCTTCCTGTACCAGGTGTCTGTATCGTTTCTAGCGGGCTATTGAATTTACTGGGTGTATCGTCTTGAAAAAATATATCATACTTCGAAATCGAGAAGAAAACGTCTTATGAAAGAAGATATTATTTTGGACCTGACTTGAACATCTGGCTCACCTATCAGATTATTTCATTATTATCTTCAGAGATCATGGTCCTAAAAATTTCTTATTTAATTGGGGTGTATCTATGAGATATGGAAATTTAAAATTTGTGTTGCGATGTTATCTTATGCATTATAATTAATAGCTAATAAATATTCGAAGTATATGAGGGTAGAATTACATCACGTGTATTTTCAGTGTAAAATGAAATAATAAAATTTACATAAAATGTAAATATCTCTGAGAATTTATTAATTTTTAAGAAGATAAATATAAAAAATTTGTATTAAGTTGGGGTAGGTTAAGTAGAGGAAAGGTTAAATGATTCTTTTTAATGCAAAGCAGAAAATTTGGAAATGATGTGATGGAATATTAATGTGGGTATGTTAAGGTATAACGTAATGCAGTTCGAAGTTGGAATAAAAGTTGAGGGATAATTTCGTAAGAAAATGAAAATAGGACACCCTGTGCATAGCTACGTCACGTGCACGCGCATAACCAATGCCCATCTTTGTGCTTGAACCCACCAGAATAACGATCCCTGGTTTCTCTTGCAAGAAGAATAAAGCTTGTTGGTAATCCCTTACAGCTGAGAGCTTGCTTTCCACCTCGGATTAGTCAGTTTCAAGCGTATGCTGCTATGCGTTGATATATTAAATGGAACGTTCCCTTATTTTTCAAACAACAATGAAATTAATTAAGTAAATCATTTTCTGTAGAAATCAAATATTTTGTACAAGTTAATTTCCACAGAAAAGAAAACGGAAATACTATTCTAATTTTGAATGTAAATGATATATAGTTCACGCTTTTCACCCTGAACGATGGAGAAACGAGGAAAACCTTTTTCATTTTATTGCAATAAATTGATCGCAAAAATCCGAGAGGTTGTTTAGCAGACCGCGGTATCAGCGGTTTACTGTTCGCATTAATCCATCGAAATAAATTTCCCAAGCGAATTCAGCTAACCTCAGGCACCAATCAGGGTAGAATTTAGTATTCACCTCTGTGTGCTTAGGTTATCAGCAAAAACGATCAATATTCTTCAGCGCAGCGATAAATGATTAAAAAGAGCATTAAAATTTGGTGCGATCCTGTGTTACATCGAGATTTACTGCGATATCAACGAGGGATGCGATCATAGCTAAAGGGGTAAATGATTGCTTGCATATCTTATTATTACTAAGTTACATTTTCTTCAACTTCTTTCATTCCAGATAATGTATTCTGAAACCTGGGAGACAAATATTTTACTATTCATTACCACCTAAGGATCTTATCACCCGCAGGGGATGGTCCGCTGGGGGGTTGCTGGCTAAAAAAAAAAAAAAAAGCAGAAATGAAGAGTAGAAACAGACAAGAAGAAAGAGCCCACGGAGAAAGCTGGGAGAAAGCTAGGAGAGGAGAAAGAACAGTTTAAAGTTTTCCAGCAACCCATCCAATAGCAACGTTTTTTGAAAATATCTGGAGAACTACTTATTCCTGTGCCACATAACCCTAATACATTTTTACGTAGAATTAACAGAAAAATCGATCTGTGTAAAGAAAAATATACATTTCTATTTAAAAAAGCAATATAATTGTTAATTGCACATTATAAAATCCAAAGTCCTATGGATGTACTGCTCTTCGAACCATTTATCTTTCTCCTTTGGTAATTTTTCGTGAATGCGTTAATAACAGAGTTATAACTCGAAACAATTGCGTAGCCCACCCTGTACATTTTGTAAGTTCAGGACCGAATTGAGCCAACTTTGAAATTAACTGATAGCGACTCCAGTCACGCTAAACAGCACTGTCAGAATCATCTTGAGGAATTAAATTTGCAGTCTTCCTGCCCCATTCGCATCTACTTTCTTACCGGCTACGGGAATAGGATAAAAAATTACTGCGAGACACGTAGTTTACGAGTATTCCCCAGAGTACGGAAACGTGAACCCAGAATCCGTCCTAGACGTCGCGGAGACGCAAAGCTTATGTATTTTTAATCGAATAGCTTCTTCCGACTTATCCGTGACCAGTTGTGTCACTTATTCAGGATTCTACTGAAAGTGAAACTCTACGCAGGATATCATAATTTAAATCCTTTCGCATTTACATAATAATACAAACATAAAGTAACAATTTTTACATTTTGACAACTGCTGTTGCGAAATCTCTAAATCTGGTATATATGTATGAAGAAAATTGAAGAATCTAATATTTTTAATATTTAAAAATAAATCTCAGATCTATCGCGAATTTAACACAGTATCAGAATTTAAAACTGAAGATTCAAACTACACATATATCACGAGTGTTGTGACATTTCTGGACACTTATAAAACGATTTTTCGTTATAAAACAAGATTTATATCTTTCCATTTAACACGTTCGTTTGAAAGCCATTCCCTTCCAGCAACTCCCCATTTAGTCTCCAAATAAAAAGCTTTTAGTTTTATCAGATGTGACAGTTACTAAGCTTCACCTGAACTGGGTCAACTAATTTTTCCAAATCCTTTTCTCTCCCTTTAACGCTTCTGTTTTATTCATACCTTGCCGATCGGATAGCCTTTTCTCTGGTATTCTTAGCGAAGTTATTGTTATCCGTCTACGACGTTCTCTTCCAAAGGAATTAAATAGAAGAACCTTTCGTGATCCTTAAAATGTCAAATATTTTTCAGTGCATCCGGAAAAACAAAATACATCGTTTTGTTGTAAATTTCTAGGAAACGAAGCACCATAGATGGAAATTTAATATCGTTGCAAATGCTTTACGAATTCTAGTAACATGCGTTTCAATTACAAATAGAAATAGGATTCAAATACCGTGACAGGGCGTTGCATCAAATGACCGATCAAATGACAATCAAATGCATCGAATGATTGATTGATTGATAAGTTTCCCTCTTTTGAGGGCGGCATTATTTAGGAGCGAATGACTCCTCTCTGCCCACCGAAAAATTGCCATACTTTTGCTTCTGTTTTTCATTATCGACGTTACAATTATTTCATTCGCTTACAAGTAATTTTACATCATACTGCCATGCTCGCTCTATTACGTCCCCCTTTTAGTCGCCTCTTACGACAGGCAGGGGATACCGAGGCTGTATTCTAAGCCCCCCAGCCACAGGGGGGTGCATCGAATGAATACTTTATGAATGTGTAAAGTATAAAATGATTTGATGATATAAAAGTATCGCAAAATAATATTTACATACGGTTAGAGTTCGAAAAAAATAATTGAAGAATCGGGAAGTTCATTAGAATTTTTGGGATTGAAAATAGAATACCCATTAATGGACCACTGATGTAAGTTGATTAAATCATTCGTTCTAATGAAAAACGAAACATTCTATACTAAGAATCTTTTTATAGCCATTTTCAATGGATTTTAAGCTGCAAATTGACATTTCTTGATACCACAAGTGTTACTTTGCGTTCGTTTTAATGTCACTCGACGGGGTCAGAGTGCTTTAATTGACAACCAGTCATTTTGCGTCAAGAATATCGACGACGTGTTTATATAGTTATTTTCCTCGAACTCTGAGCTTTAAATTCATACGTCACAAGTGTTATTTAATTATACTTTTATGTCATCAAATCGTGACAGACTTTCCGAGTTTATTTCTAACTACAAAATCGAAGTAGGTACCATCGGATTATTATTTTTCTTAAAAATGTACAAATACATCTGATTAGTAAAACAGGATACGTTCGCGTGTAATTCCGCTGTAACGATCGTTCGTTCGATTAGGTATGCCAATAAAGCTGTACATTTGTTTCGAGCCCGAGTTTTCCGTATCGTGCGAAACGGTGATACTTCCTTGATTATCGTGCACCAGTTAGAGCGAGGAATTCTTGAAAGTTCAAACGCAATTAGCGCAAACCCTAGGCGATCGTAGCACGTGAAATATCGTGCTTGCCTGTACGTTGTTTCGCGTAATATCGGTTCCTTTTAACCCGTTCGATCGTTTCGCCGACTTGGTTAACAACGCCGAGGTATTCTCATTTTACAAAACCTAATTAAAATAGAAACAAACCTCTGAACACAATATTCTTGTCATTTCCAGAAAGAATATTTATTTATTTAAATCGTAAAATTTCAAATTCTGTTGAGTAGACAAACAAATGTTAATCGCACTCTGCTTTAAAAAATGTTTCATACCAATATTTCAATCCTGAAGCACAATTGTCACGATAAATCTACCAGTGTGAATATTTTTTTTCAATTTTTATTTTAATGAAATCCGAACGATTCGTTTCGCAATCCGTTCTAAATAATACCTCCGATGTTATTCCTGTCTTGAAAAATAAATTCAACCGGTTTCATTCGGTCGTGGACGATTTTATTGCGCGAAACATTAGTAACAGGCATAACGATATTTCACGTATGCATCTCTCCTCTATCGCGCACCGTTCAAATGTTTCTCCGTGACCATCGAAATTGATTCAGATCCCCGAAGCGAGTATATTTAAAGCGAGCCCATTATCGCTTTTCTCGCGGCCACTCTTCATCCCCGTGCCCGTTAAAGGAAACAAAGTTCAGTTATCTCGTATCTAATTTTCATCGTTCCGCGAATTAATTACACGCGAACTAACCCGTGTCGGCCGCAGCGAATACCATATTTCCACGTCGGACAAGCGGTATTTAATAAAAAAAAAATAAAAAAAAAATAGGTGACACACGATTATAAAAAGCGCGCTGATAAAATGCTGGCCACGGGAGCGAATGGGAGAAAGATTCCTCGATAGAAAATACAGAATGTATCGCACGGCGATATTCGAAAGAATAATTTCCACGCGAGAAGACCACTGTACGAGCATCACGGACGAACGGATTAAAACTTTCTCATCGGCAGCGTAGAGAATTGGTTTAGTTATTGGATCCCCTGGCTGGATTGCCAACTCGACGTGGTATCGCGTTGCATTCTTCGCTTTACGCTTTCGACTTTCCAATTCCTGTCCACTCCATTTTGTAATCCTTTATATAGAGAGAGCTTTCTGTTTTCTCTGATTTTGCGTACCGATTGGATAGAATCTACGAGTAATAGGTGAACAAATTCAAAGACCATAACTTTGGCGGAGGAATAACGACAGGTAATATAGAGACAGGTCTACGGTTATCGGTGGGGTTAATTTTTAATTCCATAAAATTACGACGGTGCCAAAGCCGACGCATTAATCTAATGCTCCGGGAATAATGATGTCAAACCAAGCGTAACGTCAGTGGAGAGAGAACACCGCAAATTCGAAACGTATACATATATATGTGTGTATCGGCGTAGCAGTGACGTTATTAGCATCACCTATAAAAGCATCACCTGTTTATCTGTTTGCACGTGTGGAAAATTTAATGTGGAATTTTGGAATAAGATAATTCAACGAATTTATTTGAAATTTCATTCCATGTCACCTGTATGTTCATTTTATACAAAATAGATTTTGAACATGCTTATTGCAAGCATTAACAAGTACATACATAAGAGGCGGGAACTCGTTCGAATCTGCCCGACTTTATCCGACCTGACCCGAAATAGTCCGTCTACCCGGCCGCCCGCCCGGGTACCCGCATATATATACCTAGCATTACCACAAAACGTAACGTTAAACAACTATTTCTAAAGGTAATCGCTAAACTGTGCCCACGTGTTCGTCACATCCGGAACGTCCAATTTCATTTTTCCTCGATCCCTTTTAATTTCAATGGCTGCGTGTCCAACAGTTCGTGCTAGCTAGGCTTCCACGGCATTAAAGGATTATCGACGTTATGTGCTCCGACGCGGTAACGTTTCGTAGAATTCAACGGAACGTTCCATATTTTCGGCTATACGCCGTCAAGGGAATCGCCTAATTATTTTAATAGCACTTCCGGACTTTTATTTAAGCGATACACTCACCATCGACACGTTAAAATGAAATATTTCTAATTTAACTAATTATCATTTGATATTATGTTTTAATAATATTTTTTGAATGGAAGTATCGAAAGGAATAATATTAATGTCGATATTTCAATAAAAGTTCAGTGGAGTATCAATAGATTGTTAACGTGAATTTTAGTTAATAGAATCGATGGCTAAGGTGGCTTGTATCTGATACAAGCCAGAAGGAAGAGGCCGTTTTCTTTTCTCCTTAGGGGACTGCGTTGACAGGAGCCATTTCTCGGCTGCGAAATACGAAGGCTGATTCCGTATTATCGCGGCATGTCGACGTCATTCCGCGGCTTTAATTATGCATCTAGCCGCAGCCACGGAAGTTTGCCATTTATTGCTTTCACCACATTAGAACTGTCTCTTGCCTCGTACCTCGTTTCACCGTGAAAGATTTAAATGTAGATAACAACTGGCTTTTTCCACCCTTGGGAATCAAGTCGACCCGTTAATCTAGCATACTAGATAACTTAAATTTACACAGTTTTGATCAACCATTTCCTTTTGTACTTAATTCTTTTCTAAAAGTGGCAGCGCATTTATTAAATTACAATTGTGGCTCTCTCCATGGTCCGCCGTCCGAGAGTTAAGATTTCTTACTAATCCTATTCTATAATTAAATTAGTAATTTTTTGTAATCATAATTTTCGATGACTTCGATTTTCTATTAAAAGAATAATATCGGTCAAGTGCCATAACGAATTGAAATTAAGTTAACGAATTAAAGTTTAAGTTACTCGATATTACAATTGATTAGACAGATTGATTGACTGTCTATTTGAATGCAATGGTAATTTGAATCCCGATAACGAATGTCATTCAAGGTTTTCTTATAAAACGAAAACGTTTCTGAGGAAACGCTACTCTGATGCAATCAACGTCTTTCTGATCACACTTAGCGAGTTGCAATTGCATCGTGTTCTCGATGCAATTTGCTAAACTGTGGTGCCAAAGACTGCAACACCTTCCTGGAAGAAACTACAACCGGCCCTTTGAGGATATCTAGAAAATGGCTCGATAAGCAAGTTAAAATAGTTAAAGTTTTCCAATTACGTGATCGTGATCGCCTACGACTTCTCGTTAAAATAACTTTAATCGTTACATGTAAATAGGCCCTTGCCACCTTGTTAGCGGTATCGTATAATCATCGTATTCGATAAGAACAATGCACTTGGCTCTGAATAAAAAGCAATGGTGAATCTTCTTTCAAATAATCTCAAACTGCTTTCAAACTGCTTAAAAATGATAGATTGCACGTGAAATTGCCTTTTTATTATATTTAAACAAAAACCACGAAAGTCGTAGAAATAATTAAATCGAGAACGATGAAGATCGAAGTCACTCTTCCACTGATCCAATAATTTGCATAGAAATAACTTTTTCACGTACGAAAAGCAAGATACAATAAAGTTCAAGTTAATCGCTCTACGAGACGATCAGGTGAAATTGAAAGATCAATCTTTTTAACAATAACGATATTTTTTAAATACAGAAGAAACTTTATTGAACAACAGTGTTCATTTTGAATCACAACTATTGCAATTAGTATTACACCCTGATTCTCCCAGAACTATTTATCTTTTTCTGCAAAAAGACTTGACAGATACATTTTGCAGTTCTCCGGGGAATCGAAGTTCCTACGATCAAGCGAATTTTGCGGAGATCGAAACAAATGATTGTACGAGGGTGCTACATCAGCTAAATACATCGCTGGATCAAGGGGTGGGCTAATGGGAGCTATAGCCCCGGGCTTCTCTAAAATATTATTTCATTTGGAATAAATTTCAATTTTTGAACCAAGGGGGTCCAGGTAGATCCGATAGCTCCGGGCTCTAGAAATATTAATTTGCTTCTGGATAAATATTTTATTTAAACAAAGGGAAAAGAATTTTCTATCGTATCGATCGAACAATTTCGAGCCCTTCGCCATTTATTAAATTATACTCTTCGTTCAACACTCCATCGTAAATATGTTCGCAATCTTTTCGCTCGTTCGTTCCGGCTACCCACGTTTACCTATCATCTAACCTGTTCTCAGGACGATTATCTCTCACGCAAATCGAGCATAGACCCACCTTAGTCGTAATTCGCTGTCCGCGCTCCTTTCGTGTCCCAAAATGGAGAGTCGAGTAATTGCCAGGGGCCCCGAGAGATAGTGCGACAGAAACGTGTCGAGGATCACGCCGATTTAATAGAAATTCGCGCCAAAACTAATGCCTCTTCTACCATCGGATTTATGCTCCCCTTAAACGTCCCTATGTTTTACCAGTGATCAATGTTTAACCAAGTGAATTCCAAAGATACGTAGGTATATTGGACGGGTAAATTAAATTTTTTATCGGGTCATTTCGAAACATTAATCAAGTTATATTAGAAATTGTCAGTCTTGGCGAATTTAAACTCGGCCAGATATTGCTGTTGTCACAGCTGTAAGTTATACTCTGAATGATTACTTTTATGTAAATGTTTAATATTTCGTTTGAATTAAAGTGACAAGTGTCATAATAGAAATCTATGAAATAATTGAATATGTCGGTGGAAGTAGGAGATCTCATAAAGAAGAAAGTAGAATTAAAAATTTTAAGATTAAGTGCAGTTCCTAACTCTGCCAGTAGGTGGGACAATTTCCCTTCAACTTATCAATTGCACATTTCAATTTTGAAGATGATTGGAATCTGTTTTCCTAAAATTCAATAATTGCAATTTTACTCAGAATATTATAAAAATTGTTAATTAGTTCCTAATGGCTTAAATTGAACCAAATAGATTATTAATTATCCATCCAATCAACTTTTCCTAAAATACAATTATTGCAATTTTATTCAAAATATTATAAAAATTGTTAATTAATTCCTAATGGCTTAAATTGAACAAAATAAATTACTAATTATCCATGCAAGTATTTCAAGACCTAATTACCCAGAAATTTGTCCGAAAGCCGTGTAGCAATTGTATTTAGTTTGAGCACGAGGGGTACATTATACGACACTCTCGGCGCATCTGGTACACGCACCGTTCTTAATTAACACGATTATGAACAGCAGTTTAAGCGTGGCCTGTCGTAGGCTTATTAACCGTCAATAAACGGTAGGCGAGCAGTTAATCGGAAGCTGGAAGTTTCATGCAAAACGGATTAAAGATAAAGGAGGTTAAATAGCGACCCTATAAAACGCTCGGCAATTAAGCACAAATCACCGTGGAAATTGTGCTCGTTACGCGTATCCACTCTTTTATGGGTAGGAAAGATGGAGATCGATACACGAGAAACTAGAGTGGAAAGCTTGCAGAAGTTTAGCTTGACTGAAGATAAATGGAAGAGAAGCTTCGGGGGATCGATAGAAAGATTCTTCCAACGGTTGTTCCTCGCGATATGGAGTTGTTCGCTGGCAATAAGCTGGAATCGATATCAAACACAACAAGAATAAGTTACATCGATTGGATGAAAGATTATGTACAGTCGATCAAATGCTAAACCGGTCTACCTTGAACTCTATTCTCGTCAACACCTCAACGTCATTTTCATTCATTAATTTATTACAAAATATATAGCATATTCTCATTGAATGAAGAATTCTTTTTATATTAATTTAGATTCTAAATTATGAAAAGTTTATACAATTTTGTTATATTACTTTTTGTATAATTGATTATTTATCGTGAGTTATAGT